CACTGGTTCAACTCCTCCGTGGAGGTTTTGGGATACGGTGCAACAGATTCAACAAGCTCACAGGTTCGTGAACACATCGGATGCATCGAACAGTGTGGCAAAGTCCAGCCACGCTTCCTTAATTGTCGGGGACTTCAATTCGAAGGTTGGCTGTGTCATTGCTGTTTGTGTGTCTTACATGTTCACAACGTTTTACCTCATGAGCATTTGCCTCACTCCGCTTGATGTCCCACCAGTCCGGATGCACCCCTGCTAGCTTTCGTCACCTACCCTCGGCCTCAAGTCATAAATAATAAATAATATAAAATGACATGTTTGATGCCTGGCAGGCCAGGGGTAACCATGCTTCATGCCTTTCGACAAATTGGTCATTAATCAGCATCAAGTTGATTTGATGGGGCGACCTGTGGGATAGCTGGTCCTTGTAGCGTTCAGAAGGGTTTGGGACTTGCAACCTACATTTTGTGTAGTCCAGGGGCACTACCCCTGAATTGTCATTACTTCAGAACTGCCATTGGTTCGTCACATTGAGTGAGACTGCAACTAAGATTAGATCCAGATGTGGGAATAGCTTTTGGGGCGGGAACGTCCCAGCTGTTGCTGCAGGCACAGCTCCCCAGGGAGACCACTGGATGTGAGAAGGCGGGGTCCCCGCTCTTTGAAGCTCGCAGTGGAAGGAAAGTTGGATCGCTGGCAAACCTGTATGATATTACTTAGAGCACTCAGTACTGCTAGGTTCAGCCGGAGCACCTCGTACTTGTCATTTGTCTTTCAAGCCTGCAGGAACCATGCTCGGAATTCTGCACTGCGCTCTGCTGCAATATCCTCAGACATCAAAACCAACGAAGCTGCGCGATTGAAGCCACCCTGGTCGCATCTCGCTTGCTGCAACCGCCAAGCCTTAGGTCCTGTGTTGCGTGGACCTCAGCAACCACGGATTCTCGCAACGTGTTAGATTTGATGCTCGATCGTGGCAACGCCCTGAAGTAGGCCACCAATTCTTGGGTAATCCTATTTCTCATCCTTGATGTTTGCATCCAAAACACGACAAAGCTCCTAGTAGCGTCCTTTGCTGCTACTAGTAGCAAGGCCAGGAGCCCCTAGTAGCGTCCTTGCTCCTAGTAGCGATGCCCTTTGTTACTAGTAGCGTCCAAAAGTGGCTTTGGATTCGCATCTTTGCGTTCTGGTCTTAATGTCGTTGTGGATGTACGCCAACAGGTCTGACTGTGGCAGCCTCGCTGCCCGCCTCCCCGGCTGGTGTTGCACTGACTGAAACTGAAACGGCTAGCAGAGGTGCCAAATGGTTGGAGAGGCATGAAGCCATTGACATGCGATGTCTCGCATGACAGGAAGCGATGACTCGGATGATGGGGAGGCGAACTGTTGTCACAGATGGGAGCTGTCTTGCTCATGGACTCTCATGGTGGGCCATTCGAAGTTGAGATGTTGCGTGCTCTATCACAGTGCCAATAGCAATGGAGATACATCATGATACATCACTATGGCAATCCCAGGAGAGCGAGCCAGACATTGCACCGAGCCATAGGCTGGGTGATGCGACTCAACTTGACAACCTGGAGACTTAGAGCCTATCGGATAATCATGCAAGGAGAAACTGGACACGTGATGGACTTGAGTGGAAGTAAATGGACGTCATTTTTCAATGTGGACTCGAGTTTCTTTCCCAATTCAATTGGCTTTTTCAAATCCTGAGGCTCCGCTGTGCCAAGAGGCCAGACAGTCTTTTGCTGCATTTACACTCGGCTGGCAGCGTGACAACTTCTTCTTTGCATGCAGTCCCGTATATCTAATTAGGCCCTTACATGAATCGAGGCACGTTTTATCAACGTCAGTCGCCGTATTCGCTCGACCGACCGTCCTCACAGGTCTCCTCCACCGACCAGGCGCACATCGTTGAGCCCACCAGAGGCAGGCTGCGAAGAACCTCTCCCCACCTGCCATCATGCGCCCCCTCCCAAAGAAAGGGCGTTCCTCGGCGTGGCCCTATACATGGACATTTTCCCGAATCTGGGGCCGGGATGGGCTGGGAGATTTTGCTTTGGTTGACCGTGGGAGTGAATCAGTTTTGTTGGGGTGGATGGGAGGCCGAAGGAATTCAATGCTGTCTGAGTGAATTGTGCATTTAGACGAATGTGGCAGGCTATTGGGTATGTAGCCCGTTGACATTTATTGACATTTATTTGGCTACCCCGATTGAACCTGTTACACAGTGCGGAGGGCCGATCCCGTTTCCACCACCCTCTGCTCCAAGAGAGACGCTCACAGGCACGATCTCGGATGCGATCGATCTACGCGAAGAAGGGACCCGCTCCACGTGTCGGCCTTGGGACCGATGGACCCGCTGCGTGGCACGCAGTGAAGACTGATTCCGTCACATGGTCGTCTTGAGAAGAGTCAGCCCGGCTTGTAAAGAGGGAAGCCATGAGGTTTGCGTGAGAAGCTAACACTCCTGGGCTGAGTCACCATCCTCACAGGGGAGCTCCCGCTGTTGGAAAGGGAGTACTTTGCTGGCGTCTTGAATTTCACAAGAAAAAAACAGATAAGTGAAAGTATACAAGCTGGTCTCTTCTCTGAGAGGTTCAAACATGTGTGCCGCTGAGGCTGTCATAATTCCCGCCCACCATGGGAGTTAGCTAGGCGACAGTCAGTCGGTGTAGCTCAAAACCACAAGATGGCAGTCCTTTCTGAGGTGCCGAAGTGGTCCCTCGCAGAGCTAGGTATGCACAGCTGGAGTCGGGAGTTTTGCAGAGTGATGGGACTGGAAGGGAGAGACCAGTAAGACTTGAAAAGATGGACCCCCAAAACACATCTAAGCTTTTTGTAAAGTAGCAAGTCTTACATGGTCGATGTTGGCTTATCAGCAGGATATTTGACCACCTGTTGAAGCAAGCAAGGGCGCCATTGCAACAAGCAAATGGCACGGGCTGCTTGCTTCTTCCTGCAAAGGCTGAACTGCAGGAAGGGTGTGGTTTGTTTCGTAGTTGTTGCCGGTCTTTGCCACTCCTAATGATTTGAAGTTAAGTTTTCTGAAAAATCTAGGAACCAATTCATTAATGCGAGCGTGAGCTATCCTGCGTCCATGTGTAGTAGCGTCTCAGTAGCTAGGAGCGTGTTCAGTCCCTTACTTAGTTAAGTAAGCACCTACTTAATTGATTAAGGGCAGCCTTAAAACATATGAGCTCCTTTTCTCTGTGTGATTTTTTGTACCTCAGAGCGTTTCATCGGTTTTGGTGGGAGGCCTTCTCTCTCCTCTACGATCTCGAGCTCTGCCTGAGTCTCAGTGGCGGATGAGTCGAGCTTTTTCATCATGTTGTACTTGAATGCTTAGCATTGCTTTGCAATACCAAGGCCAGGGATTGACACATGTTTTTGGGTATGGTCCTTGTGCATTGTTCTATTGATGCAAGCTCCTTAGGAGCTGTGCTGTTTGAGCTAGACAAACATGGGGCGACTGCTAAGAGACGAGCCGCTGTGGCCACACAGAGCCCAGGTGACTGCTGCTGCTCTTCCGCCGCGACCACAGGAAGCTGAAGGGAATAGCCACATGGGCGTGCCTCAACAACCAGGGAGATGCCAGGAGACAATACAACATATTTCCGAGAACTCAGATGAGCATAGAGTTAAAGCTTATTGGTTCAGGGATGTTCAGGGGTTTCCTCTTCATTCTTGCTGCAATCCCCAGCCCTCAGACATGGTCCAGGTGCCAACTGGTCCCAGCAGGGACGATGTACATCAGGCCAATTGGTTGCCTAGATGTGCTTAAGACAAGGTCCGGAGAAGTTCAGATGTTCTTTGCAGTGCGGTTTTCCCACCCAAGAAGAAACACACAAACGTGTACAAAAGCCAACACTACCGCCATTATCAGGTCATTTGGACTTCGAAATGATGTTGATCGCTTCGAGCCTGTTTTAGATTGAGCCGCCTTGGAAGCGCTTCGGTGGTTGGAACTGCTAAGGCAAGCAGGGTCGCGGCTGAGGCACGCGTGTGCTGACGGGGGGATATGCGACATGCAGACTTGGTGCTTGTGTTACGGCGTGTCGCTTTCGACTGACAGGGGCCCCAAAAGCGATTCGCACTTGTCTCATGTCATGAGTTACACCAATTCCTTGGAATGCGATGCAGCGCCGTTTTGCAGTCGCTGCAGCGTGACGTCACAAACCTCCAACCATCCTTCCCTTCGATCTGGCCGGGTCTGTGCCCCAGCCCGCTTTGCCTCTTGGCTTTGCCTCTTGGCTCCTTTTGCTAGAGGGTGCGATCCAATCTAGTCAAGTGATCATATAGAATCATATAGAGACATAACATGAGATATCCACTCTGTTTTAAGATTGTGATCACTCAGCTGAGATGCCTCAAGACTGATGACTCCTGTAGCATCATGCAACTGTTGGTCTTCTATGCTTCTACTTGTGGCCATGCTCAGTCCAAACCAAGCTGAGGTGACGTACAAGTTCAGCCAGTATGGTATGTCACTTCCCTGGATTTTTGACTCCTGGACTTGAAGGGTATGCAATGGCATGCAACCGAATCTGACATGCAGGCCATGTTACCAATCTTCCTCCTTGGCATTCGGATGAGTATGGGTGCATGTATATAGTGAGAGAAAACGCTTTGCATGATCTGAATTTGAATCAGCACATCAGCACCGGCACAGCAGCCAGGCCCATTCGTACACCATTGCCATCCAGCCGTGTGCGGAGGGCCGGATCACTTGGATGCTTGCGTGCTCGGGCGCAAATATTCCCAACACTGAGGACTAAGAGAGACGTTTCTCCCCGTCCCCCCGTGAAGGTAGGGTTTTGGGCCGAAGCTAGCACCTGGAGCGACATTCCCAGATAAAGCCTGGCTTCAAACCTGCGGCCTCAGAGCTGCATCTCCTCACCCCTGAGGCCTCTGTGCCAGCAGTGACACGCAAGGAGGGGGCCCAAACCGACGGAACAGCTATACGGCTATGCGTGGAGTCTGGTAGAATTCGCTGGCCGGATGTTGGAAAGACATGGAAAGACCTTTTTATTGTACGTACATTGAAGCGACAAGATTCGACGCGTGTAACTAGGGCTGCCCTATCAAGCCAAGTGGCTTCTTTCGCAGTTCGATTTGGTCAGGTCTCCCCGTATCCCTTTGAGGTGCGGATCCGGCCCAGGACTAAAGGGGGGCGCTTCACTTGAGTCAGACTGAAGAGCATTGACAAGCGATAAAACTGCATGCAGACCTTTTTTTCGAGAACAGAGTTTTGGGTTTATGGGAAGCTGCTTTCCTTTTTTGAGAAGTCCGAGACGTTATTCAGTTGTAAGTGGTGACCTCAGATTGATCAAGACGGTAGGAGGACTTCTTCTGTGGCCTCGTCGCGGAGACCTTCGGCAGTTGTCTCAGGTTGACTGGCAGATCTACCGGTGATGTGAATAGAAAGCATACAATATCACCATGTTCGTGCGTTTGGAACGCTTGACCATAGATCCCACCATCCTGCTTGTAAGTGCCACAGCCACCACGACCCAAGGAGTCCAGATGTCAATCTAGAGGAAGTATCGAAGTGCATGAATGCAAACTCAGGTTGAAAGGTGCCAGTTGTCACACTTGCAGCCTGTGTTGTGAATCCAGCACAACTCTTTGTTCGTAATACAGCGGCTTGCTTATGGTAGGTTTGACATGGCTTTGACTGACTTGGTTCGGCATTGGATCGATTTGGCCACAAGAGTGGGGTAGCCACTGCACGGAACTGCTCCCAGGTTTGGACAGAACTCTCCAGGTTAGAACCCATTCACGCCATCGGCTCCAGGGTAGGCAGGACCTAAGGGGAAGCCGGGACATCGCGTCACGCTGCTTGCCTGCAGCACATTGCAGCACCTTGCTATCAGAGATTCCCAAGTGTTGCTTCAGACAAATTCAAGTTATTTTTTGACCCCTTGATAGGGTTATGCTGCTACTTGTGTAGGACGGGTGTGGCAGCTGACAGAAATTATTGCCAGGATAAAGTTGTGAAACTGATCTAAGTTTGCGCTGAGGATGTCAGACCTCAAACTCGATCCGGAGGATGGCTTGGCCGTCCAGGACTTGTCCACCTTGGATGCATCTTAGCAGCAGAACTGCCAAGTGGTGACCCATGCTTAGCCTAATAGTGTCCCTAGTTGTTGGATGAAGGGGCAGCCGTTCAGCTCAAGACCAACGACCATCAACTACAAGAGGATCCAGGTTTCTTGATTCCTTTTGGTAAAGTAGGATAGCCTCCTCTGAAAGTGACATGGCAGTGATGAAGCCCACGTGAGCCGAGGTGTCCAAATTGACTCCATTGACTCCGGAGGTGATTAGCAGACAAGCAACCATGAATGTGGCCTCGGCTTCCGTTTTGTGAAGTCGTTGGGAGACTGATGCGTACGTACCATATTAATTCGATAATGTTATTTTGGCTGTGCCAGGTCGGGACCATTGGTCATGTGGCACATGGAAAGTCTACAGTGGCCTGGTGACAAATGGGAGCTGAGCTATGTGCAACCACGGTGGCCATTGAATTGGGCGGTGGATACCCTGCAGCCTACCATGTGTTTCTTTTTTGGGTGCAACGGTTGTTACTCATTGTATGTAATATAATATAGGAGTTATCTCTCCAAGTTGTCATGCTGGCACTAGGTGAAGGTGGCCAGGCCCCTACTTTCAATTTACTGTAATTTCACGGCCAGCAATTTGATCAACAAGTAGCTGGCCTGTGGCAGCTTGAGAACCCCATTCACCTGCGGGTCGCTTTGGTGGTGCTGGTTTCTGAGGTTGTGAAGGGGCTCTCTGGAACTCACACAGTGAAGTTCAAGGCCGAGAAAGAGCGCAACTTGCAGAGCAATCAAAGGGCTGTGTCCAGGAGACATATGTGTCATTTCTTCAGTGGTTTCGAGCGTTGAGCCTTCTATTCTGTTTGTTGTGATGAAACTTACAAGAATGAAGTCGGTTTTGCAATTGTGGACGGCACAGTGTAGAATTTGCGGCTGATTGCGGCTCTTCTGTTGGACAGCACTTTGCACTCTGAGGTAACATTACCATCAAGCTTGGCTATGCCAATGCCAAAATCTATAAAAAGCAGTCGCCTGAAGAAGATGTGGGGAACTCGGCTTCCTTTGAACACGTGCAAGCCCGTGCAGGGGGGGAACCCTGAAACTACTGGCGTCATGTTCTTCCGTAGTGTCTCCCTTTTTCTTCACAATTGTGTACCTGGCATTCCCGCATGGTTTTATGATAAAGCTTCGGTGGAACTCTTGATGCAGGAGGACCACCCGTACACGTCACGTGGTAGCAGTGCACCGGATGTCCTGGAGGATGACTACAGGCTGGGAATGAAGTGACCAAGTAATGCAGGACTAGACGATCTTCAGGACTTCAGTTGCAGGTTGGTGCGTCACGTGTCCTTCGTGGATTGCCCGGGCCACGTGGAGACCTTAAGTCTTAAGTAATTTTCGTGGCCTGTTTTGTTGGGTGTGCGAGCCATAGGAGTGAGCAACTGACGCCTGAGGACATTCTCATGGCCACAATGTTGAATGGAGCAGCTGTGATGGATGCTGCGCTCTTGGTCATCGCAGGCTTTGGTGGATGGGCACATGCATGATTGCATGCTTAGCGCCCCCCCTTGCAATAGCAAGGGCATCCTATAAATAAATTTCAGTTTTCAGGTTTAGGCGAGAACCAGCAAGCCATTCTTCATCATTTCATCCCTTTATGCAGAGCCGATTTGTTGAGCACGAGCGGCCAAGTGCAACCGGGTGCGTTTGGAGGAAATGAGACGTGCCCTCAGCCCCAGACCTCTGAGCACTTAGCTGCTGTTGTGACTTGGTGTGAAGAAATGGGGATGCCATGCTGAAAGGGGACAGACCTAGAACTCAGACAGACTTCGCAGAAGTGGTCCAGGTAAAGGGGGATTTTATTTTGCATTGCTACAAGATGACAAAAAGTCAAAAGGCGGCTTTTGCAGATGCGGGACGGAGGTCTCGTGAGACAGCTTGTTTGCTTACGTGCATCTTTGGGGATGCTGGACTCTTCTCCCAGGAGATTATGCGCTTGAAGCACATCATCATCCTTCAGAACAAGGCGCCGGCGGCACTGCTACAGAATGGAGCTGTTTGAGCTCTTGGCTGATGATAGGCTGTGAGACTGCGGTTCAACTCTAGGCATATATCGCAAGGTTGGTGTATATATTTATGTGACATATCCACGGCTCCAACTTAGTAACTCAGCTGGATACCAATGAAAGCACAAAATTTGCAAACAGTTGAAACCATATTGTCCAAGTTAATATTGCCTACTCTGGGGATCAACGCTTCTTTGTGCAATGCCTTTGGCTGCATATAGACTATATGACAATACTAGACTATATATATATACTTATCAACTTATTGTCATGACATTGCCGGAGCTTGGTTTGACAATCTCACTGTCTGTTGTCGCCTGATGACAGGTGGAGTTGATCAAGCAACAAGAGGCTGAGTCGCGCTATGAGGAGATTAAGAAGTTCGTGGCAGGCACAGCGGCAGCATCTTGGAATATTATTTGGGCATCGATCTAAAGGTCCATGAAAGGAGTTTCATATGGAACAGCCATTTCGGTTACTAAGTACCAACCGGGCGAAAGATCGCGAAAGTTAAACACAGGGCTCGCGAAAGTAATCTTTTTTTTTCGCGAAAGTTCATGTAACCATGTATGTTATTTGTAGGTAAAGGGACCCTTATTTGTTTGCTTACTGTGATTTTTTCAGACCACCAGCTCAGAAGGAAATCAGAGTCTTCCTTTAACTACCATATATACCCATGTACCCGAACTTCTTCTGAATATGTAAGATCATACTTTGCGAAAGTTCGCGAAAGTTAAACATGGGGTTCGCGAAAGTAATCTTTTTTTCGCGAAGAGGCACTTTCCAGATGAAAGGAATTTAGATCAACCACCATTTCCGAAAGAGTAGCTAGCGGAGGCCTCCTGATGGAGCTGGTCCATGCTGGAACGAATATATAACATCTCTGCTTTAAATGAGGGAACAGTTGAGCCTAGGCCTATGCATTACAAACCGAAAATACATTAAAACCACTGACCTCGAATCATTTGGGAATAGTGAACATACATCGGTCAAGACAGGTCATTGTGGTCAACACACCTCGTGCAACGACGGTTTTGCTTTGCGTTGTGCTGCCATATGTTGCACAAAACTGGTTACTGCGAATACGAATGGTACGAAGTGTTTTCACCTCCTGCACCAGGCAACTAATGGACTCCTAGGCACGGGAAGCGATGCAAAGTCGCTAAGGACTCCTCACCGATCATTCCAATCAGCCACTTTCCTCGCACTGGAGTAAAGTTGGCAAATGCTTTGGTTGCTGAGCAAGTGCAAGTTCTTCAGATAACTGCTGGGAGTAAAACTGCCATGTTGTTCTTCTCCGCTGAGCAAGGTGCAGTGTTGAAGTACAACTTGGACGTGATTTGCCACTTGCCATTGATGTGCAGGCTTCGGCTCCAACCTTTCACGCTCACGTGCGTGCCATGTGGGGTTTGGCAGGGTGCTTGACTCCGGATTTGTTGACGTTGTAAGTGACATGTTTCTTGAGAACTACTTTCCCTGACTGCATCCCCGCCCGTCGTTTGCATAGCATTTCAAAAAGTTTACTTACCTCAACGAGCACATCAACCATGCTTTCAGCTTCACATTCTCTCAGGTGAGTACCTCTGTACGCAAGTGCCTATTCCTCCGCGAGACTTCACCTCGAACCCGGTGATGATCATTATCCGATCGTTCGATGTGAATAGGCGGGATGGAAGCACACGCAGGATCGTTCGATGCACAGCCAGAGGTTGATGCGAATGGCGCCAAAGAAATGCGGTTGATGAATATATATTGAAGGAGCCATTTTTTGGACCTGTTTGGACCAAGAGTTGTGAAGTCCAGGCCTGGTGAGGAGGTGGTAGATTTGAAGGGTGGCGTTGCCGGTGGCTCCATTCTGAAGGGCGTGACTTGGCAAGCACCCCAAGATGCAACTTGAATGGATCATACTTCAAGAACCCTAAAGTTTACGCTTCTTACTCTGTTCCAACATGACACTTGCGCGGTCTACAGCGGATCGGATTAACACGTCCATTTTGCGTGGCAGGTACAGCACGGTCAGATTTCCACACCCGTTTAAAATTATAATATTTATAAGGCTTTCAGGTGTGGAAATCTGACCGCAACTGAGGTATCGACATGTTGCACGTAGGATTCTAAGGGGAAAGGGTTTGTGATGTTTTAGAAGTCAAGAAGCGCAACTTTTGGCACCCCAGTGTAGTTACAATGTTCAATGTCAATTATGTAGATTTATATATGTAGTAAAGGTTGCCTAGCAGATTATGCATCATCATGCAATATCATGCATCATAAATGATTCAAGCTTGCGGTATGCGAAGAGAAGGTGCCTGGCCTACAAAGCTTTCAGCTGTGTATTTATTTTGCATTTGGTTGCCAAGAAAGTATCGTCATGGATACCAGGCAAGTGTATAGCTTTTGGGAGAGATGTTGTGCTGACATTGCTTGCAGTTTGTTCGACATAGTAGGTGGGCAATGTTTGCCATGCTTCTGCCTCCCTCTTCATTCAATGCAAGCATTGTCCGTTGCCCCACTCCTCCACGGCGCAAGTTGTCACTCAGGTCCTCAAGATGGGAGATGAGATTGCCTCTCAGCTGTCAAGACCGTGTTGTGTGGGTCAAGATTGTGATCAAGTAGGGGATGTCATGGGGCTGCCGACAGGCTCTCAGAGCATGTGTTGCTACCGCCTTGGGCACTAGGGGTGGTCTGCGCTTCCAGAGCAAGCTGAAGTGAGTTTCAAGCATTGTGCCTTGAAGACACCCACATGGTGCAGTGTTTAGGCATGTTTAGGCAGTTCGTGCTCCAACCTTCAAAGAGAAAGCATGTTCAAACAAGAGGCAGTTGCGAGAGTCTCAAGTTTGCAAGACAGTGGTGCTGTAGTCTCAAGACGGTGGCATGCCGAGTTGTCGGCCACGCGGTGCTGTCGCCCAGGAGATTAGACCTGGTATCGTCACAAAGGACGGCGAAAATGTGCAGTGCCGTCCAATTCGCAGTCGTAGCCTGTCAGAGCAAAGGTTTGAGTTCTGGTACTTGCAAACCATTTGGAATTTTATATAGTATTTAGATGGCAGCAGTTTCTCAATCATCTCAATACACCTGCCATTTACTTGAGTGCTTCAGCTTTGCAGGTATCATGTCTCTCCTAGCTGAGAAGAATGCTCTACAGTTTGCTGTACCGGGTGGTTTGATCGGTGTCGGCACCAAGATCGACCCCAAGCTCACACGTCACCTGGAAGCAACCAAGGTGTATTGGAAATTGGAAATAGCCTAGGTTGGCATCCTGGAGCATAAGCTCATTGAACGTTCCGTGTGTTTGTTCTGGTGGAGTGTTGTTTGGGAGACTGGTGGATCGTAAGGGGGAAGCGCATAGTGACATGCTGTATTTTTGAGGTTATCATCAGATACTTATCAGATCAAGTGATCATGCATGACACAAACATGTGTTCTGTGGCCACACTGCTAGCCGCTAGCCAAGGCGCAGACAAGCTGGTTGGCCACGTGTTGGGCCATCCTGGAAAGTTGCCAAGCTCCTTGGGTGCGTTTGTGGCATCATGAGCACGGGGTGAAGGCCCGCTAGTGACAACCTGGCAAGGACCGCGATACATGTCGCCACTTGGGGCGCCACATGTTGGCTTACATTTCAGTTGTTGGGCGGTCCCAAAACCTCGTCCCCGAGGCATCTATACAGAGATTGAGGCGTGGAGACCGTGTGGAAGTTTCCCTGTGACCGAAATGCCCTGGCTGAAGTCAATGTCAGCTGCGCACCTGAAGTCAACGTCAGTGAGCGCCAGGTGAAGTTCTACTTGCTGCGACGTTTGTTGGGCGTGAAGACCGAAGGTGATGGCAAAGCCGGTAAGGTCGCCAAGCTCAAGAAGGGTGAGATCCTGATGGTCGCTTGGCCTCGCTTAAGAAGGGCTCATGCAGATGTTCATGGCTCACCGCTTCTGAAGACTGCTTCTTCACTGCTTCTCGCAAAACGAAAGTGCATGATCTCTCATTGCTTGAGGGCAGGTTGGAACAAAACCAGAAGGAACCATGCGTGCAGAGCCACCAGTCTTTTGCCAGGTGAACATTGGATCCACGGCAGCTGGTGGCCGAGTGCGCCAGGGGGCGGAGTGGAGGGAAGCACCGGATTCTCTGATGCAAATGGATGAAGCGACATTGGTCGCACTGATGAGGGGCCATTGGTCGCGACATTGTCTATGGTGATTGACCCTCAGCAGGAAGAACGTATTTTTTCTTCTTATATAGCTGTTCTTACAGCGTCTATGTGGGTCAGCCCCGGTGGCATTAGGAAGTCCTTTTTTAACGTGGCCAGTGTGGGTTGGTCAATTATCACCCACTTTTGAATCTATAACATTCAAGTACATCAATGTTCTTGGGAAGAGGAACATCGATCGCTAGGTGCCATAAGTGTGTTGCAGGATGCTGCAGGATCAAAGGGAAAGGGTTGTTAATTTGGAGCCCTCAAGACGAACAACTTTTGTCCTAGTGGTGTATATAGTCCATTTGTTGGTTTTCATACCCAGTTCTCCTTCCAATTGGTTAGGAGGATGACTTGATTTCTCTTTGTTCCCTTTCAAGCCTTTGCAGCTTTGTGGGGTCCTAAGCATGCATTCCCTTTTCGATTCCCAAAGCGTTCCAGAAGCACAAAGAGTGCGTGGTCATACTTTTGACAGGTACTGGGCATCAAAGAGGAGACGGACTTTGCTAAAATCACACTGACCAATCCTGCAACTCGGCGTTTGCAGAACTGAGTCTTTACTTTAATATCTAGAAGTTTAGACATTGAGACCCATTGGTGCGAGACTTCAACTTCTTTTGATCCTAAGTGCATACTTAATGACACGGGATTCATGATCTTAGTAGGAAGTGCATTCAACATTGAATGAGATGAAATGACAAGTCAAAGGTGTCGCTTTATATTTGCTGTTATGGTTCTGCGACGTGTTTTTAACATACTTCCTTGTTGGGATGCCTAGATTCAGAAGACGTATATATATATATATATACAGTGCTAGGCTATAGAGATGTTGGACTAGAAGGGGCAGCGGTGAAGGGTGGGGGAGACCGTAAGGAACTCAAAACACGTCCGTGCAGGTGTGCACACAGGATGGCGACAAGGTTGCGCTGAGCCGAAGGACTGATGGGGAAGGGGATGGACTCACTAACATGGAAGTGGAGAACCCCCTGTTCGTAAAGGAAAATAGTCTTCCAACTTCCAAGGGACCATTTTCCACTTCCATGTTAGTGAGTCAGAGTGTAGATTCGTTACAAAACCAGCACCAGGAGAAGGCCATGGTGCCATGGCATGGTTTCATTGAAGGCATTTTCCGTGGGGCTATCTCATAGAGAGCGATGTGGTCATGAGATGTGGCTTTCACTCTGATCTTGATCCTTTCTTGCATTTCCCTTTTGTAAGGGCAGCTCATGGCGTTCTGTGCAGGATTGATAAGCACTGGCGGCTCATTGGTTGGGGCAGTATCGCAAGAGGCACCACCATCAAGCCGATGAGCGACTAAACCTGCCCTTCTCGTGAGCCGACTGAGCGGAGGCCTTTTCGCAGTCTTTACGTGAGCAAAGGGAAGAGCTCAAGTGAAAACTAGTTGGAAAGCCAGCAGCCCGACCAAGTGTATGAGTATATCTTTAAAAGGATATACAACTTTGGAATTCGCCTTGCCACCCTTGGCCGGGAGATGCAACCAACCAATCAAGGAATCTTGCGCTCTTTTGCTCCGTAACCCAAGCGAACCAAGCAAAACAGGGACCCTCAAGGACAATTGAATTGAACAAAGGTCCTGCCATGCTCCGGCGTCCACATTGGAGGTAACATGAACCCTCCACATCCGCAGATACGACCGTTTTGTGCCTAGCTGCCCTGGTTGATCTGGGATATCCTGTCCTGCGCTGCCTGCGCCAGAAAAAGAGCTGAGAGGGAGAGAGAGAGAGAGAGAGTGGCCTGGAAGAACCCAAACCATTGTACCAAGACCAGACCAGGATCAGAGCCCCTCTGCAGATCAGGCACAAGCTCTGGATTGCCGCAATGCTGTAGGACCTGGCGGTATATCACTTGACGTTGCCATGCCCCGTTAGGTCTCTTCCTCTGCTCCTGTTTGGCCTCTCTACGGCACATTGGTGCTGCACCCAGCTTGCACTGACTGAGTCGTGACTCCATTGCCCCTCTTTGAAGCTTCTTAGTAACAAAGCTTTCTAGTAACTAGAAGCTTCCTTGGGAATCGTTTCACCTGTAGTAACAATGAAGCTTTTAGGTCTTTGAAGCGTCTTGGTAACGGACCCTCAGGATGCCTCGACAGCTTCCAGCCTTGGCGGCAGCTTGATCTGCAGCTCAGGCGGGGATCCTTGAGAAAGCTGCGGCCACTCAGGCCTCTAGTGCTCTTGGCGCAACTGATTTTAGCACATGTCATACTATCAAGCTGGTTGACCCTCCAGGTTGCAGAAGAGTTGAGAATCTTTAGTGCTTCTTCTCATGTCTTCCCCCACAAGAGACAGGACGAGAGACAGACAGATCTGTTCCAATTCAAAATTAGCAGAGTCATTTTCGGCGCACTACTTGAAACCCGACTTGCCTTTCGAGCTTTGCACTGGCATCCTCCAGCCACCATTGTCCTCGGCCACCAAAAAAGGAACCAACTCCACAAAAGACTTGTACTGTAGTAGTGACATCGCCGGGTCACATATATAAGTGCAAATTTGGCGGGGTGTACCCCGCAAATTTCCTTGTCTAAATTACTTTATATGTACCGATACCTTTTTGCATTTTGTTTGATGATGTTTGATGATATGATGATTGTGGATGTCCCCGGGCCCCTTTCATACATCTCCTTGTGTCTTGCTAAATTTTGCTGTCCCAACCTGTGGTCGGAGTTGAACGGGCCCTTGCCCTTTGCTTGGAATGGCCTGTGGCACAGGGAGGCCCAGAAGGCGGTTCGAGCCAAACCCGAAATCTCCAAAGCCACATCATCCCACATCCCACAAGCCCAATGTCCCCCACACAAGCTTCGCAATTATACAATTTTGGGCCGTGATTATATCAATTGCAGCATGGAACCTCGTGGTGGGCATACATTTGGCCTTGAACCTGGACCAGTCCCTCCCCCCTTGTTTCATACAAAGTGCTAGATTCTTGTTGACCCTGTCCGCCCTCCTGTTCATACAACGGCTGCGAATGCCCAAGAAATGTAGATGCGCGTGGGGTGTGCCCCTCCCCTATGCATACAATTCGGGCCTTGATGTCCCCCATACCTTCAGACATAAAAACACCAAGAGAACAAGAAAGATGTATATTGATTACTCCGTCTTTTTCCTTAATGCTCAACCCCTCCCCGTTCCAACAAAACTGGTAGACACCTGTCCCCCCAAATACATACATTGCAAAACATGTCGAGTTTGATCTAGTGGCCATGTAGTGATGATCCCCAGTAAGCTGCAGCTGCAGCCAGTTCAGGTCGCACCAGGTCGCCCGTCCTGGCCTCGGTTGTCGAGTGTTGAAGCAACTTTGAGCAGCTGATTCTAGTAGCGATGGCCTCGAACCTACTAGTGATGGCCTCCACCCTACTATGTAGCTTCTTGCTACAAGTAGCTTGTCACAGGCTCATAAGCCATCATAGGCCCAGGAGGCCTTGGAGAGCGAGTCGAAATATGAAGAGGAGGCTTTCATGGACGGCCGAGGTTGCCTGGACACTCCCTGTTCATGTCGGTTCACCACTGCTGTCATCCAGGGAACGTCTTCCCATGGCGCAGGCAGGGGTGGGTATACACCAAGCCGGCATTTGGTGGCCTTGGTGCCGCAAAGAATAGGACGAACTGTGAAGTCTGAAAGGTGGCAATGCACAAGAGCCAGGCAGGGACACCGAGGATGACTGGATGTTGTGGAGCTAGCTTTGTGAAGAAAGTGCTTCGCCTAAGCTTGGGAGGTTCTCATGAAAGTGTTCAAATTTCTTTGGAGAGAGCCAGGTGTTCCCACGATCCAAACGGATTCTTACACTGCCCGAGTGAAGTTCGCCGGTCCCGAGCATCTGAGATCGCCAGCGGCAGTACCAGTACGTATTCTGGAGCAAGGCCGTACGGGCGGCAACGACGACATGGGAAGAGGTTTTCAAGCCTTGGTAAGCATCGTTTTGTTCTGCAACATCGTGAGCTTCTTGGCTTGAGGGTTCGGCAAAATACTGAATAACAAAGGATGCTCTTGTACAGATGTTTTTTTTCTGGTCGTCATGCTCCTGGCTTGCAATATGAAGCTTTTGTGGCGCACCCCCCGACATGAAGTGAAGATACAGATGATCCGAGAGCTTTCAACCTGTTGACTTGCGAGCAAATTAACCTGGACCTGTCTCTTTCCTTTGTCATGCAGGAAGCATTCAAAAATTCTTTAATATGATCAGGCGGTTCCCCTCGAATTGCATCTAGTTTGCAATGAAGAGTGATACTCTAATATCGGCATTTGGAATAAGGCCAGGTAAATGATCCGAAATTTATTGATATCGCCCGGGTGGAAAAGGGACATTTGACCGAACAGCCTGGTCAGTTGTCCAAACCAGTCAGGGGAAGTTGCTTGTATTGCAGACGCTACTAGTAGCTTCTTGTTACTAGTAGCAAGGTGCATTGCTACTAGTAACAAGTGCATGACTGCGAGTAGCAAATAGCATCAAATAGCTACTAGTAGCTTCCTGTTACTAGTAGTAATGCACTTTGTATCTCATTGTATCCCCAAAGTTGCCCGTTCAGCGACTGCCTGCTCCCAGTGCACAGAGCTCGGGGACGCCTCCTCAGCTCAGCTCCCCTGCAGAGACGCCGCCCTTGGCACCCGTGCAGGGGGCCCAAAGGCGTTCCATTTTTGTTGGCCTCCGAGGACATCGCGTTGAAGGGTTCAGACATCCCCCTTGCTGAACTGTGTAGCTTTTTGAACTGTGGATGGTACATTCAGCACCATCACTTGGCATTTTGGTAACGCCCTGATTGAACCTGCTGGTTTGTCTACCCTTGAGGCTTGAAGCATATACTGTGCCTTGGCAACACATGGTTTCTGGGCGCATGTTTAAAGAATTTAGATAGTATATAAAGATTAGTAAAGTAGCCTGGCAGAGCCCTCAGAAAGACATAAACTAAACTGGTATAGCATGACACAATCACTTGGTATCCAACACCTAGCAGCAGATATTATGTAGCTTGATTTTTCAGGCACTCTTTTCTGCAGCCTTTCTTAGTTTCATGCGCTTCCAGAATCAATAGGTTCAATAGGCCTCAACGTCCAAGTGTGCAGAACCTTGCAGGAAGGCAGCTGGGATGGATCTACACGTTTGCAACTTATATAGCGCTTTCTTCATTTGAGGTGCACTTGGTGTTTTGCTTCGAGCATTCAACGTCGCAGTCCATTGCTCACACATTTGCGAGGTGTAAAGGTCGTCCGTTTCCGTGCGAAGCTAAGAGCCTTCCATCGTTTCCGAGAAACAGAGATTCGTTGCGATTATGCGTGACTTGGTAGATACCTGGCAAGGCCAGGGGTCAGCCAGCATCATTGGCTCACCCGAAGTCGCTTCTGCCTAGAGCTCAGCAAGAAGCAAAGTCACACTGATGAAGGGCACAAGAGGATACTCTAAGAGTCTTACAGTCCTGAGTCCTCACCATTTGCCCATCAAGCCCATAATTTCTTTGCATGCCAATGCTACTCCACTGCAAAGCTTTTTTTGGCGAGGATGAGGCTGAGAAGATGCAGGCTTGCGATCGTGAGCTAAATCCGCGCTCCGGGATCTATGGAGGACTGCTGGATTGGTTGTTCATGTCCGCATGGCGTGTGCTTCTCACATGCATGTGGGCTCAACAGACTGAACGTTCAACTCCCCATCGCGTCCGAACGTGTCTGCAAGAAGTGCTTCGACTCGTGCAACGCACCGCCGACGTCACCGAAGTGCTCGCCGAGGGGTTCGTCAGGGGTTCCGACCGTCCGACCGGTCCGACCTAGGAGCCTAGGGAGGCGAGACGGAAGGTATGTGGCTGGGATGCCAACAGCCCTGAAGGCCTGTCGCATCCATCTGGTTCCTTGCTGGCCCCCAAAAGCTACTAGTGGAAGATAGTGGAAGTGGGCTCCGCATGTCCATGAGTTGATGGGATGCTGGCACAGAATGGACTCTAGAATGCACAGATTTTATATATAAGATTTTATCAATGGGCCGGCAGGTGTCTTGCCATTTGACATGGTGTGCCGCCACCTCAGGTGTTGTTTGGCACAAGGAGTGCACTGTGTGCTTGACCCTTGGTGGGTCCCAGAAACCATATGCTTGGCAGGTTTCTCTTGCAGCACATCTGAATTAGGTGGAAATTAGACCATTCCTTCGGCTTGCCTCCTCCTGCGATGTGCAGTGAGCCAATTGAGAAGATCAGTGATCGTTGGAACCGACCAACTGACAAAAACGATCAACATCAAAAAAACCGATCTACTGGTTGTATTTTCAGACAGGTGAGACTATTCCTTGTGTTTTTGGAGTGGCAGCGAGGGTAGTGCCAA